CACACACACACACTCTACATTCTCCATGTCAACCAGATTCCCACCACCTGCTCTTCCACATTTTCTGCAAGCTCATTGTCTCCCCACATTCTTTTTTATACAATTTATTAAATATATAATATAAAATAATATAATATAATTTTATATCTTGATTTTAATTTTATAATATAATTTTTTTTTATTGTTTTTGTAATTTTATAGCTTCAGTTTAGTATTGTTCAATTGTGGAATTCTTATTAAAATGGCAAAACAATAAGTGTATATATATTAGGTGTGTTTATATAAATGTATATGTATTAAATATAATTATATTATTATACAGTTCTGGTGTTATATTTTATATTTTCACTAAAGTAATACTATAAATACTGTATATATAAATATTTTTTATTATTAAAATGACAAAAGCAATATACAAGGCATACATCTAAACATCTGTGATATAAACTGACTGCTGTTTTTTGGCTGGTTTGAGGTCAGTCAGAAGTGGACTGCTTTAGGATCGATCAGACTCACATTAAAAGAAAATGCATCGAGAAAAGCTGAAATGAATGATGACGCACAGGATCAAACCAAACAGGAGACAACACTGAACAAATGATCGTCACATTAATTAAAGAGCAGATCTACAGAGCTGGAGACTGAAGAAAGGAAACAAAGAATTTAGGACATCCACCAATGAGTGACACAGACTACATTTATGAAAGAAAGAAAGAAAGAAAGAAAACTTTAAATATTTTAAACTTTAAATTTAAGAAACCTGTAAATACCTGTAAATGTGGCAGTATGGTTTCTCCTCTTCCTCCCCTCTCTTCCTCTCACTTCTTCTCAAGGCTCTTGTTATTCTATGCAATCAATCCTTGGCTCATAAAAAAGTAAAAGAAAAAAAAAAAGACAACCTCACCGAACAGAAGGTCTACAAGAAAGGAAACACACCTGAAAAAATAATCAAAGCCCAAAAAGGAAATTAAGAATGAAGGGAAGGATGATACAGCAGCTTTCCAGGAAAGAGAGAAGAAGGAGTGTATGGCCGTATATTCCTTTATCCAACAGAGTATAGAGGGGGTGAGGAAAAGAGGCAATTTTCACTTTCCAAGATTGATTCTGTTTTTACCAACAGAAAGAGGGGATGAAGTGAAGTGAGACAGAGACAGAGAGAGTGTGCGTGTGAGAGAGAGAGGGAGAGAGAGAGAGAGAGAGAGAGAGAGGGAAAAGGAGGGAGTAGATGAAGAGAAATAGGCAGCAATTCATTTTTGAAATCTGGGTTACCCCTCTCTAGAGAGTAAAAGAGAGACAGATGATGGGAGGGTGAGGAAAGAGGACAGAGAGAGAGAAAGAGAGGGAGATGTTGGCCAGCAGCTCGGTCAGCCAGTAGCTCCTCCAGTGCAGACAAGTGTTGAACGCAAAGAAATCTGATCAGTGATCAATAATCAGCTTCAGTCTGTAATGCTGCCAGTCTCACTCTATAAACCTGTTTGGACAGATGGGTGTCTTGACAGCCGTGTTGCTCATACGTAAGGACTCTGAGGCCTGATCGACAGCTCCAGTGAACCACTGAGAATGAGACAGGAAGTTCAGCATTCCTGAAAAGAGTAACATAAAGCATTAAACAGCATGTAATGGTGCAGGCAGAAGAGTCATGTTCATTCAAACTGAGCATGTGACCCTGCCAGATTTATAAGCCAGGTTCACAAATAAATAAATAATGAAAATTATTATAAATTCTATTTATAAATTGTTTGCATTTATGTCACTCACAAATTATAGGTCACATACAAATATAGCCCAAACCAGCACATCCACTGCAAGAAGGCTTCGGCTTTTTAATTTTACTTCACATTATTTTATTTATATATTTACATATATTTATATTTATTTATATATACTGAAGATAACTTTTTGAAAGATATTGTTTTTTTTGTTTGTTAGTTTTGTTTTGTAATTTTGAGGTGTTCAGTTTTATTTTGGTTTTGTTTCATGCTCTTTGTGTCTTGCCCTGAACTTTTATGTCACTTCCTGTCTCCCGTGGTGTTTGTAGTCTGTTTGTTCATTGGTTCCCCTTGATTAGTCTCCCCACCCAGGTGTGTCTTATCTTGTTAAGCTTGTTAGCCCCCTGTGTGTATATATAGCCCTAGTTTTTCTTTAGTTCCTTGTGAGTTGTTAAATGTAATGGTTATCTGTTTGCCAGTCATTCTGTTCTTTGTTCCCTTTGGTTTTTGCCTTATTGTTTGTTCTAGTTTTTCCATGAAATACCAGCACATAGATCCTTGCCTCTGCCTGTTTTCCGCAGCTTCTCCACAACGTTACAGTTTTTGACTGGCTTGTCTCTTTGACTATTGTATCTTTGAGCCTATATTTAGTATAAGTAAAATACTTAAGTACTGTTAAAATCAGATACTCTAAGACTTTTACTCAAGTTGTTTAGGAATTGGTGACTTGTAACGTGTAGTGGTGTAATTTTCACTGTAAGGTATCTGTACTTTTACTCAAGTATGGTTTTAGGTACTCTTTACACCTCTGAGAAAGACTATTATTACACACACACACACACACACACACACACACACACACAAATCAACTAAATTCTTTTATTTTGAACTCTATATAAGAATCCTTACTTTTTTTCAAGGTTTCCACAAAAATATTGCACACCACAACTTTTCCAACAATGAAAATGTTAAGAAATGTTTCTTGCGCACCAAATCAGCACATTAGAATGATTTCTAAAGGATCAAGTGACATTGAAGACTGTAAAAAAAAATTCAGTTTTGCCATCACAGGAATAAATTAATTTTTTAAAAATAAAATAGAAAATAAAAAATTTTAATTGTAATAATATCAATGTTACAATAATACTGTAATGACATTCACAATAAACCTGTTTTACGGAATTTTTGATCAAATAAATGCAGCCTTTAAGAACATAGACTTATTTCAATAACATTTTAGAAATCTTACTGACCCCCAACAAAAGTAAAGCACAATCGTTTTAATTTTATGTCATAACAAGGTTCATGTCACCCAAAATGCTTGCGTATAAAAACAATATACGATAGACAGATCAATTATTATAAACTAAAATATAAAAATAAAATAAAAATGGCTCAAGGGTTCACTTGTCATTTTCTAGTTTAATAACGTACAGTATTGTGTGAGGATCTGAACCTATAGGTCACCTTGCACACTATACAAAAAAATAAAAATAAATAAAATATACCTCTAGACTAACACATCCCACACAAATACAAAAAGTTTTCATGTCTTATCTTGCCTAGAGCAAAAGTGAGTCTGAAGTGCCCCTGGTGCCCCCTGAAAACAAATAGGTGCATGATGTTCCTGCACACAGGTGGCTATCTGTAGCTCTCACAGCTGCATCTGAAACCAGGTCACAGTGTATGTGAGACAGAGAGGAGGCAGACAAGATGGCCGTCAGACACTGACATTAAAAGAGGGAGGAAGACCAGAGGGAAGGGCGACAGTGAGGGGTCTGGCCACAGTGCTGTTATATTGGGACGAGGGTGCAAGGAGCAGTGTTAGGACATAACACTAACCCACTAACATCCAGAGAACAGGAGTGAGACAGAGTCCAGGAGGTGATGTGAAGGGAAGGAGAGGATGAGCGGAAGAGGGAGGGAACGGGGGAGCGAGTAAAAGGTTGAAGGTCTAATTATGTAAAATGTAGGTTATTAGTCTCCTGATGGGGACACTGTGAGAAAATTAATTAACAATTATAATTAGCAAGATTGTTAGAGAGCAAAACGGTGTCATTGGACAGGTATGTGTATGGAGACTTATGGGTGTGTGTGTCGCTGTCATTGAGAGGGAGGGTGTGTAGGTCAGCGTGTTTTATATCTTAATTTCAGATAGAGGCACATGCTGCAGCAATGATTTCAGAGTTTCAGTGTCTAATGTCTGCGGTGATAAATCAATGCCAGCTTCATGTCTCTGGTCATGCTGTAATAGCATCATAATGCAGAATATAGATTGGCTTTACAAAGTGAAGGGCCTGTGCACTTATCTATAGTCATCTATATTGTTATGTGGAGAGGAGAAATTCTTGCAGGGAAAGTTCACCCTAAAATGAAAATTCACTTATTTATTGATCCTCATGTCGTACAAAACCTGTGTGACCTTCTAAATCTGCGGAATACAAAAGAAGGATTTTGAGAAATTGTACTGGTCACTCTTTTCCATGCATTTACAATGAACGCACCAACAGAGTATCATAGTATCATAAAAGAGAGCCATATAACTCATTTCCTTTATTCCAAATCATCTAAAAACAATATAATAAGCTTTGTGTGTGGAACAGTCCAAAACTTTAGACCGAAAGATTTGTTCTAGTGCTACTTAGTGCGTTATATGAACAAATCTTTCTTGAGTTAGATATTGTCAATGAATCAGTTGATCCAGTTCACAAAAGCAGCCTGAATAATTCATTCACGGATCAAACTGTTTCATCTCACTGGGGATCGCAGCAGTTAACTATGAAAGCTTGTTTCTGCCAAAGTATAAATGGGACCCTGGACCACAAACCAGTCATAAGGGTCAATTTTGTGAAATTGAGATGTATACATCATCTGAATAAATAAGCTTTCCATTGATGTATGGTTTGTTAGGATATGAATTTTGAATCATTTTGGCAATGTTTACTCAAAAACTGAGGTGCATAAGCTCACATCACTGAGGCCTATGATCAATAAAAAAAGAAGTACAAAACATGTGCTAATTGAAAGAAAACAAGTTGATAAAAAGATTGAATCCAATATGTGACCTTGGACCACAAAACCAGTCATAAGGGTACATTTTTCGAAATTGAGATTTATACTATCTGAAAGCTGAATAAATAAGCTTTCCATTGATGTATGGTTTATTAGGATAGGACAATGTTTGGCTGAGATACAACTATTTGAAAATCTGGAATCTGAGGGTGCAAAAAAATCTAAATATGGAGAAAATCGCCTTTAAAGTTTTCCAAATGAAGTTCTTAGCAATGCATATAACTAATCAATTGATCTATTTACGGTAGGAAATTTACAAAATATCTTCATGGAACATGATCTTTACTTAATATCCTAATAATTTTTGTCATAAAAGAAAAATCAATAATTTTGACCCATACAATGTATTTTTGGCTATTGCTACAAATATACCCCAGCGACTTAAGACTGGTTTTGTGTAACTTTTTATCTCACAATTCAAACTTTTTTTCTAAGAAATTGCAAGAAAAAAGTAAAAAATGTGAGATACAATCTAAGTAAGTCAGAATTTATCAAGTGCCCGAAACAAGCTTCCATATAACAGCTTATTGGAGGAGAATATTATCAGTGAATAAGTTACAGTATGTTCCTCAAACAATGCTTGCATATTAATTCAGAAAACTGTGAATATAGTGCACAAGCGATACTTCTATAACGTGTCCTTCTTTAAGCTTGAAGAAACCATCATAGAAGTTCTAATGGTTTCCACTACAAATACCATTACAAACCTTACAAACTATCAACTGTTAACCATTAAAATCATTATCTAATGGTTTCCAGTAGCACTGTTGCCAAGTTTGTGGTTTTTAAGTGGAATTGGGCTACTTGTTTTTTTTTTCATGCAATTTAAAGTTTGACATATTGCATAAATTAAAATTCACTAGAATGTGCGTATTAAAATATTTTACATTCTACTAATAATAAAACACATTACACATACTGTTTATGATTTCTACCAGTCATTTTCAAATTGAAATTGTGTACAATGCATAACAGCAACTACAATATAAAATATGTATTTTATGTATGGGAATGGCATATGTTGAGTTTTAATATTTGGATAGGGTCTTTGGGCTTGTTTTGGGCTATTTTTGATTGGCCCTTGGGCTGGTTTGTGTTACACAGACCTGGCAACTGTCCAGTGGTGTGTTTTGGGCCATATTCCATTAGGATTTAGTAGTTTTAGCATGCCATGAATAGAAGGAAACAAATTATCTCTAGAGACCCACAGGGACGTTTACAGTTTCTATTAAAACCAATACGATTCCCATTATAACCATTTAAACCATTACAAATTCTTTGAGGGTTTATAGTGTTTTTTTTTTCCAGCAGGGAGCCCCAGTCCCTATTTATTATGTTGCAGAGAAAAAAAAGTGACAATTGTTTTTTTTGTGTGTGTGTGTGTGTGTGTTCTACACAAAACTGATTTGGAAAAACACGAGGGTGAGTAAATGATGACAGAATTTAAATTTTTGGGTGGGTTAATTCTAGAAGATTCATTGCATTACTGGGCTTCTGTAGTGTAACAAGACATCTATAAAAATGAAGAATAAAAGGACAAACTAGTCAACAAATGATTTGTGCAGACAGAATGAAAAGGTGATGGGAAAAGAGGACAAAACCATTTTCACCTCTAAACACGTGAACAGCATATCTGTTGGTTTGCAGTGCCAAAGTATGGCAGGCTTTCAGTATCATGTTACAAATGTGGCCATGAGGCAAATCACAGATATGCATCATGTTTAGCCTTTTCACACCCGTCATCTTTAAAGGGGAGCTTTTTTTATCATCACCTTGCTAGAACAAACATCCAAACAATGTCG